TAGTTATTTTTATTAATTTATTTTTTTGAGACAGAGTGTTGCTCTGTTGCCGGGGCTACGGTGCCATGATGTTAGCCTAGCTCACAGCCACTTCAAACTCCTGGGCTCAAGTGATCCTCCTGCCTCAGCCTACCTAGTAGCTGGGACTGTAGGCACATACCACCATGCCCAGCTCATTTTTTCTATTTTTAGTTGCCTGGCTAATTTTTTTTTTTTTTTGTATTTTTAGCAGATATGGGGGGGGTCTAGATTTTGCTCAGGCTGGCCTTGAACTCCTTACCTCAAGTGATCTTCCTGCCTTGTCCTCCCAGAGTGCTAGGATTACACAGATGAGCCACAGACCCTGGCCCAGGTTATTTTTTAAAATTATCTTTTCATTTTCTTTTTAATTTTTGATATTTAAGATTTTACACATATATTTTAGGAGTTTTACAATTGGACAAAACTACTTTTTTTAAGACTAGCTAAAAGCAAAGTTGCTGATTTAAGTGTAACTTAGTACAACTGTTACTGTCCTCCGAGTGGAGGTTCTTTGAGGTTTTTGATGATTATCAGAAGAAAAGAATTTAAGGATACACCACTTAAGCCAAAACAAGCAGCTTTTATTGAGGGCAAAAGTGAAAGTACACTGTCCCAAGAGAGAGGAAGCAGGCAGGCTTGAATAGTGCAGCTACACTGGGAGGAAGAGGTTTTTGGTCTTATGAAGTCTTGCTAATTGAGGGGAAGAATATTCAAGGCTAAGGGGTTGGCTTTTACTAAGAATTTGGGTAGTAATTCCTAGAATTGGGTTCCTTCCCATTTTCATGGTTTATATGGTTGTTTTGGAACTGTCATGGCAATTTCCAGGATGAAGAAATTTTAAAACCACAGTGCAAATGACATTGTAATTAGCCAAAGTTCATGTAAGGTAACCCAGATAGCTGACAAGTCAATTGAAGCCAGTCCTTGTCTGTGGTTATCAATCCCCTGCCCCTTAGTTAGACTTTACCACTTGTACCCACACTGGATGTCTTTGCATCCAGCTCCTAGCCTAGTAGCCTAGTTACCTTCTGCCTGAGGATTGTTTATTTCAATACCTGCACCCACTCTGCAAGCCCTTGCATCTGGTCTCAGCCCTGTCTCCTACTCTAACACAACCTTTTAAAAATCATTTGCGTTAATAACTATAAAGGTGTTTTACATGTCATGAGTTGTTTTAAAAAGTGTTGATACTCTTTCACCTAGTAATTCCATTTCTGGGTATCTATCCTAAAAAATATACATTCACGAAGATGTTCTACAATTTCTTTAAGATGGTAAAAAGAGAAGGAAATAATTTATGTCCAATAGGGAATTAATGAATATAATAGGGAATAGGGTATTGATGCAGTATATTTCATATATCTACTTATTGTAATTTTATGCATCTGTTAAGTTGGTTATGAAGCTTATGTAGAAATATGAGAAATGCTTATAAAAGTGAAACGACACGATCCAAAACTATCTTCATGCTATGATTACAACATTATAAAATAAATATGAGTGGGGAAAAAGTTCTAAAAGAAAATACACCAAATGCTAAGAGTGGCTGTGATGGGATGAAGGACTTTTCTTTATTGTCCTTATGTTTTTCAATGTGGCTAAAAGTACTTTTATAATGAAAACAATGATAATTTAAAAGGTTGGAGATAAAAAGCTTCCTCACTAGCCCTCTGATTTGAATATAAAGTATTAAAAACCTATTTTATATTCATCATTAACAAATCCATAAGCTTCTATAGACTTTAACAGTTTGAGATTGTCAACCTCAAAGTTTATCTACTTTGTGATAGGTATTCCTGCCATGATTTGCATGGAAAGGCATGACAGAAGGGACTCTTCCAACCTCTTCATTTTACAAATTGGAACTCTGAAGCTCAGCCTCAGCCCTCCAAGACAGTAGCAGAACCAAGACTGGGACCCAAGTCGGCTAGGATATCGAGCACTATCTAATACCAATTATAGCTCCGGGTCCGCCGTGAGTATTAATAAACTTGTCAGGTCTGTTGACTGCACCCTGATGTCACTCCCATTGTGGCTGGCCTGTGGGTTTGATTCCCTTCCCTGCAGTCACGTTCCAGCTCTATCGCTCTGTCACTCCGGGATCCAAGACGCTTGGCCCTGATCTCCCTTTTCACTTTCCCCCTTTTCGTCCCCAGCGTCCCGCAGGGGGCGCTGCGACCTCCTGGTTCCCCGGCCCCTCCCCCCGGCCAACCGTCGATTGGGCCGTTGTGTGACGTCACGCCGTTTTAGCCAAACAAATGGGTTTCGGGGCTTGGGTTGGGTGCTCGGCCCGCTTCAGCTGTGGGGAGCGAGCCAGGCTTCCCGCCGTTGCCGCCGCATCGGGCTGGTGCAGCCCCGGGAAGAAGCACAGGTGGGTCGGGGCCGAAGTGGGGTGTGGGGTGAGGGCGGCGCGGCTGGGGTCCCGCGGCGGCCACCGTGGCCGCTCTCCGGCCCCTCCCGCCGCCCGCCTGTGCTCCCAGGCGCCGGGAGGGTGGGGGTGGGGGCGGGGGCGTGGGCGCTGCCCGCAGGTCTGGGGCTCGCGGCCGCCCGGTGTGTACGTAGCGGGGACCCGGCGCCCCGCGCCTCATGGGCTGCCCTCCGCCCATGCACGGGTCGGGCGCTAAGCTTTTCCGCGGGCCACTGAGTGTCTCGCGGGCCGACAGGCGGGAGCGGGGTCCGGAGTCAGGCCTGAAGCCGAGGAGATTACGGATAGGCCGCGAGCAGGCACCGGGCCGCCGCTCCTACCCGCGGCACCGCGCAGGCGAGGAAGTAGGGCTCTGGGTGGGGGTCGCCTCGCCCCTGTGCGCCCGGCCACTCTGTAGGTCCCTGCCCCAGCGCAGGTGAGCTGGCGTTTGTCCTTAACCTTCCTCGGGGACTGGGCAGGACGGAGGCTCGGATGCTTCCCTGGGCTCAGCTGTCGACTGCGGTTCGGCCCCAGTCCACGATTAAGTCATAATGATACTGTGGGTCCGCGTGTCTGTGACGTCAGGGGTCTCCAGGAGATGGGGCGTGATGTCACTGCAGGCCCGGGCGGGGACCTGAGCGCGCCGAAGGGCCGGGAGGACCGGCAGGGGAGGAAAAGGAAGTTCAGTCCTCTATCAACGCCTGGGATCGCAGCGGATTTGAATCGAAAGTTGTTCCATACAGCGTGTTCCATAGCTATGTAATAGCTATCAAGGTCTTTAATTTAGTTTTAAAGAAGCACCGTTATTACAGTTAAATATGAGACACATTTGATTTAGAAATAGGTAAGATAGGAGGCTTTGAGGGGGGTTGGGTATTTAATGTAAATGCCTTTAATGAAGCTGAACTCAGTTCGATGGCTTGTGGGCAGAATTACTGAAAAAAAAAAAATAGAACCAGTTGGTGTATTGATAATTCGGTTTGCTTTACTATTTTTGTGTGTGTTAGACATTATCTGCTATAGCATTTTTTAAAGCAAATGGCCAGGAGGAGGGAGTCGGATTTTAAATGAAATTTTTATTTTTATTTTTTTGAGGCGGAGTCTCTGTCACCCTGGGTAGAGTGCAGAGGCATCATTATAGCTCACTTCTACCTCAAACTCCTGGGCTCAAGCGATACTCCTGCCTCAGCCTCCTTAGTAGCTGGGACCATAGGCGTGTGTATCAGTACCCCTGACTAATTTCTCAATTTTTTATAGTAATAACGTCTCACTGTGTTGCCCAGGCTGGTCTCAAACTAGTGTCAAGGTATTCTTGGAGAGTCCTATCTGAAATTAATTTGATTAGTCCATTTTTCCCCCTCCAAATTGATACCTTAGGAGAAGTTAGGATAAAAGAACTTCCCACCTTTCCATTTGTAGAGGATGTTAGCCTGCTTGTTTTATTAAAGTAACAGTGATATAACATTTTTTTTTTTATTTTCACTTTAGAGACAGGGTCTCTGTTTGTTACCCAGGCTAGAGTGCAGTGGCACAATCATAGCTCACTGCAGCCTCGAACTCCTGGGCTCAAGTGATCCTCCTGCCTTAGCTTCCCTGGTAGTTAGGACTACAGGTAGGTGCCTGCCACCACCCCTGGCTAATTTAAAAAAAATTTTTGTAGAGACAAGGGTGTTGCTATGTTAACCAGGCTGGTCTTGAACTCCTAGCCTCAAGCAATCTTCCTGCCTGGGCCTCCCAAAGTGCTGAGATTATAGGAGTGAGCCAGTATACCTGGCCAGTGATACCATTCTTGAAGGTTCAACATGAATTGAATTTAATGTTCTTGATAGACTCAAACTTAGTTTTTTTATCCTTTAGAATAAAACCATGTCAAGCCTTCATTAATGAATCTCGGTGTACTCAGTTTTTTAAAGAAATTTGCCATTTGTATTGTATGGCTGTGGCGTAGACATATTATTCAAAGAAGTAAAGCTTAATTTTATTTCCCTCTGCATTATTTTTCTAAACTATTCAGTTCACTCACCAAGTGTTAATTGTGTGTTTACTTTGAGCCTTCTGCATTTGAATTTCCCTTTACTGAAAGTTCTACTTTCTAGAATGATACAATGAACTGTATTGGAAAGTGTAGTCTTTATCCTCAGGAGCATTTACTTTGAAAGGGTTAATGATTATTGTCTGTGCCTACATGTGTTTCAGAGGCCCCAAATGAAATTTCCATATGAGTTACTAAGAATTTTTAATGGATTAGTGATTTTGTTTGTAACCCTTCAGCCCTGTTGGAAATGATTTGAAGTTTGTGCTGTTTGTTGAGTATCCCTTATCCAACATGCTTGGGACCAGAAATGTTTTCTGATTTTGGATTCTTTTTAGAGTTTGGAATATTTGCTTATACATGAGATATCTTGGTGATGGGACTCAAGTCAAACACAAAATCCACTTATGTTTCGTGTATACCTTATACACATAGCCTGAAGGTAATTTAATACAGTATTTTAAATAATTTTGTGCATGAAACAAAATATGTACATTGAACTGTCAGAAAGCAAAGATGTCACCGTCTCAACAATGTGGGCAATCTGTGGCTGTTTGGCATCACTATCATTCTTGACTCTGAATTTATATGCTATTGATAAACAGTCATTTTCATATACTTATTCACACGTAAATATCTAACAGTAAAAAAAATGACATACCATTAATACAGTGGAAAAATAATGTCTTCGGGGTGACTGAGCAGCACAGTAGCATCACCAGAATACCTGTGTCAGCTATTAAACAATAGCAGCAGCGAACAATGGTGGGCTTCCTGTGATGCTGTGTTCTAATTAAAAGGTTACTGTACATTGTATTTTATTTTTTTATGCAAGAAAAAACATCAGAAGTGCTTGAGGGACCAGGAAGTGGGTCCTGTAGGGATGAGGAAACGTTCTGCTTGATAGCTTTTTAAAATGTTTCCTCCATAGTCATCATTGTCACCATTAACAATGATTTTTGTTTTGGCAGTCTCTCTTTGATTTTATAAATTGACATGATTTCTTGTTTGTTCTGAATGCATGCTGCTCTAGTTGTTCAATAAGCCTTTCACATGTTTTCGCCATGTTGTCTGTAGGCATGTATGTGTTATGATATATATATTGGTTTTCATCCACAATTCCTGGCTCATAACTCCCATAGTCCTTGTTACAGTCTTTTGTTGTTATGATCTTGGGGGCCTTAGGCCTCAGGAGCAAGCCTCAGGAAACAGAATCTCTTTGGCTTCCCCCACCTTTCTTATTGTGGGTCATAAGACTCTCATTCCAGAGAGAGTCCCACCCCATACCCTGAAGGCTAATCACATTTCATCATGGTTCTCCATAAAAACCTAAGAGGCCTGCATACAGTGAGTGTCCACCTGAACACATGGAGGTACCTGGAGGGTGATGCGCCCAAGGCAAGGCATGGAGGCTCCTCTGCACCCCTTCCCCCATACCTCGCCCTATTCATCTCTTCCTCTGTATGCTTTATATTAGGTCATATATGAAATGTCTGATTTTGAATCAAAAGTTTCTTATATCTCAAACAAGAAGCAGTACAATTAATGAAAGTATGTGCCTAAACTATCGACACAATTTTGCCAACTTAACGGTAGCTTGTTTATGCCAATAGCGAAGAAGTCTGGAGAGCAAGTGGTAATGAAATTATGAAAGATGTTTTCCACAGCTTGTTGAGAATTGAATATTTTTCCTTGCATGAAGTGGTCCAAAGCCTGGAAGAAGTGGTAGTCATTTGGTGCAAGGTCTCGTGAATATGGTGGATAACAGAGTTTCCAAGTCTGGCTTCTGTAGTTTGAGCAGCGTCATGTGTGCGACATGTGGTCTAGTGTTGTCTTGCAATAGGATTGGTCTGTCTCTATTGACCAGTCTCAGGTGCTTAATCACAAGCATCCTCATCATTTATCCAATTGTTTGCAGTAGACATCCGCTGTAATGGATTGACCAGGTTTCATGAAGCTGTAGTGGATAATACCAGTGCTGGACCACCAAACAGACACCGTTAGCTTTTTTTGATGAATATTTGGTTTTGGATTGTGTTCCGGCACTTCCTCTTTATCCAGCCACTGTGTTGAACATTTGGACTGTCAAAAAGAATCTATTTTTCATCACGTGTAACGATAGGGTGTCGAAATGGGTCCTCTTTATGTCCTGACAACAAAAAAAGGCAAGCTTCTAGATGATTTCTGATGCTCGTTTAATTGATTCAGAACCCATCTATACAGCTTCTTTATCTTCCAATTTGTTTCAAATGGTCCAATATTGTTGGAATAGTAATGTTGAACCTTGCTGCTAATTAATTCATGAGTAGGTTGAGATGGATTCAGTTCCACTACAACTTTGACCTCACCATCCACCTTGGTCTCTGGTCACCTACGTGGCTCATTTTTCAAGATTAAAATCACCACAACAGAACTTCTCACACTATCAATATACTGTGCATAAATCAGCCATATCCTTCCCAAACACTCCGTTGATATTTTGAGCTGTCTGCACTGCATTGGTTCCACGACAGAACTCACATTCGAGAATAACACAAATTTTGACTTATCCACGGTTTCACAAAAATTGCTCTAAAAAAAATTTGAAAGATAATCACAAGCCAAACACTGCTTTTGAAAGAATGAGGATGTGCCTTCACAATAAAAATAAGAAGTATAAAAGTGAAAGTGTTAGAGATAACAACTGTGTAATGTAGTACTTAAGGAAATAAAACATTTCATACTTGATAACCTAACATCCTTTGTAATAAACCCATAAACCTAAGTAAGTTTTTCCCTGAGTTTTTTGAGCCGCTCCAGCAAATTAAACCCATAGAGAGGGTCATGGAAACCTCAACTTGCAGCTAGTTGGTCAGAAGCTCTGGAGGCCTGAACTTGGAACTGATGTATGTGGGGGACAGTTTTGGGGACTCACCAGTTTTTGAGCCCTCACCCT